GTCGGGGAACTAGGAATCCACGAGCTGCAGAGCAGCCAAAAATAAAAAATGAAAAAATAAAAACAAAATTAACTATTGAATGGGGAAATAAAGTCAAACTTAATATGTCCTGAAATGGAATGATCTCCAAATAAATTAAGGGGGAGGGATGGAAACAAGGACAGAAAATGTGTATAGTATGCTCCCAGATGTAATAAAGAGGACACATACCTATTACATAAGCTTGTATACAGTTGGCCCTCTGTATCCTCGAGTTCTGCATCTGCATATTCAACCAACCACCATGCAGGATCACAGATATGGGGGTGCCAACTGTACTGGGCCATTTTATACAAGGGACTTGCGCATCCACAGATTTTGGTACCCTCAGGGGTCCTGGAGCCAACCCCTGCGGGCTGACTGTATATGTAACATGTCTGGAAGGACATGTAAGAAACGGTTGGGCAATGGTTGCCTTTCTGGAAGGGCCCTGGAGGCCTCAAGGTCTAAAGTGGAGGGACATGTCTCAGTACTTTTTTGTACTGTTGGAATTTTTTCACTGTGTTCATGGTAACTTTTTAGATATAAAAACTAGTTAAAATTTCTTGATTGGATAACAGGGTGTTCTGAGGTTGAATTGTCATATTTCTCTACCCTTGATAGCTGGAAGTAGGGCCATAAATGCTGCTCTAACACTGCCAGCAGTGAGGAGGCCTATGTCTCTGAGAGTAGAAGTGGGCATTTGCACAAGCATATCAGGGGAAGCGCCCGGAAGGTGTTTCTGGGGCAGGGAAGTGAGAACCTGAATCCTGGCTCAGGACACCACAGGAAATAAACTGAATATCTATCTGAGCACAAAGATTTTGGCAGGAAATGATAAACTTTCTGTTGGAGAATGTAAAAAGCCATCCCATGCTGTGGAAGATTTATCATGATGGAATTTTTTTTAATGTGAAAAGAAGCTTCTTTGGTGGGTTGGAAGATAAGGCTTTTAAGAGGATGTGGGACTAGGGGAGAGAGTACCCCAGAAAAAGGAGTTCTGAGCTAAGAATAGGACTTCCAGGTGTAATTTTTAACCAGACAGTCCAGCATTTGGTCTTTATTTCCACAAACAAGAACATGCCATCAAGGGTCCTATCAGGGAATGTCCATATTCATTTTGAGAATTGGACTCTGTGCTAGTGAGCTGACTCCCTGCTTGAAGTCCAGAGCAAAAGTTTCATTATCCATTATTCTTGTGTGTAAGGGATGGTGGGGAGGAAGGAAGACTTTTCCTGTCCCAGGGAGATGCCCTGCTCACTGGCTTTGCCAGAGGAGGCAGTCCAGGTCTTTCCCTAAGGAAGTCCTC